TTTTTTCAGTAGAGACAGGCTTTCACCGTGTTGGCCAGGCTGGTCTTGAGCACCTGATCTCAGGTGATCCACCTGCCTCAGCTTCCCAAAATGCTAGGATTACAGGCGTGAGCCGCCACGCTTAGCCTAAATTTTTTAAGCTAGAAGTTGGCAGCTGTTTTCTGTAAAGGCCAGATGGTAAATATTTTCAGCTTTGTGGTCCAGTCTCTGTCATAACTGGACAGAGCTGAGTAACTCTGATGTTATAGTACAAAAGCAGCAGTAGGCAATATGGAAACAAATCGCATGGCTGTGTTCCAGTGAACCTTTATTTACAAAAACAGACAGCGAGCCAATCTTTGCCTACTATTCTAAGCACACATGTAGTGGATGCATATGTATGCCTATACATATCTAAGCTTTCAAACATGTTAGATACACTGGCATCTAAGATGCATGTTTGAAAGCTTAGATTTGTATAGGTATGCATATGTAAGATATATATATAAGATTATATATGTGTGTGTACATATATACGATATTCATATATATATATATATATAAAAGAAGTATGTATCTTGGAAATCATTTCATATCAGCCCATACAGATCTATTCATTCTATTTTTAAAAATATTTTATCTTGAAATAATTTCAAACTTATAGAAAATTTGAAAGAAGGCTGGGCATGGTGGCTCATGCCTATAATGCCAGCACTTTGGGAGGCTAAGGCAGGAGGATCGATTGAGCCCAGTTTGAGACCAAACTGGGCAACACAGTGAGATCACATCTCTATAAAAAATACATTTTTAAAAAAGTAGCCAAGCACGGTGACACACAACTGTAGTCCCAGCTACTCTGGAGGGTGAGGCAGGCGGGTCTCTTGAGTCCAGGACATGAAGTGGCAGTGAGCCATGATTGCTCCACAGCACTCCAGCCTGGGTCACAGGGCAGGATCCTATCTCAAAAAAAAAACAAAAAACAAAAAATGGAGTATACCTGCATACCCTTTACCTAAGTGCATCAATTTTTAACTGGCAGGAGGTCACACTGTGGCCACAAAGACCCACAAGTGCGTGAGTGACCCAGGCAGGAGAGAATGGGGAAGAGCAGCCGGGCTGTGCCCATGGCGTGTAGCAGAGTCAGGGGTAATGGTGTTTTAGATCAGCCAGGCATGGCGAGGATTCACAGCGTGGGTTTGTGGACGTGGAGAGGAGGGGATCT